TGTATATGATACTACGAAATATAATAAATACTAATTGACACCAACAAAAGGAAACGTGATAACGTCTTCTCAATACATCGATATCAAAAAACATACGAAGAATCAGATTCTTCAGTGTCAGTGTGTCAAGTGCTCGAGCATCCGAATTTCGCATAGATTCTCACCTGCACAGCAATCATGACACCTAACCCGGAGGTTAGAGCGATCTGCAGCAAGGTCGGGTTAATCCCCATGCTTCCTATGCATCCCGTGCATCCTATGAACACCAGGATCGCCGTGCCAATCGCCTCGCTGATGGCAAAGGTGATCGTCTCCCGGCTGGTTGCATCTTCTTTCATCAAACTGCTCAGCCCTGTAACGAGACGATCGAAAGGGGGACTGATGATGATTCTCGAGCGTGAACGATAATCGGACCGGATCGACGCGACGGGTGATACCGATTCAGTTCACGATCGATCGATCGGTGTGTCGTTTGCCATACCGTCTTACGCTAGCTGAACTTGCTAGTCGTCGAAAGACGTGGCGGAAGCCCAGGCCATGTTCTCGATGGAGAAAAACAGATAACATGGCCGCGTAATCGAGAGGGAAGCGACGGTCATCGATGTCCCTCCAAAGTTTCTATTTATTTGTTCTTTTAAATAATTAATTCCCTTTGGAGGAATTGAAAGGAGTTTGACTTGATAATTAATCATTAATCTCATATCTAACTGGTTGCTCGTTTATTTTTTGGTTAGGGATGATTAATTGATCTTTCATTCCAGCAGTCGGTTATACAGAGACCTACCAACTCTCGAACCAATGACGAAAGATTAATTAAATTTAGTGCGGATCGTTATTTTGCGAAAATTTACTGATTTATGGAACAATTCTTACGCAGTTGCTAAAACGATCGAGCCGTAGTTTCATTATTTATTCAATAAATATTGTGAAACAGCCCGATGGAAACGAAGCACCTATTTTTTTTTTAATTAAAATCCTCAAACTAGATTTAGATCATGTCTTTCTACATAATTTAGCCCGATTAAGTTACTACTTGCACGAAATTTGTACGTTTTGTCTATAGATATTTAATTCTTTAAACAGTCAAATGGCTAAAGTCAGTTTTTATTTTTATAATAAAATGTTCGATTAGACATTTGTGTCGTCTAAAGATTTTCACCGACCATATTCGACCTAAAATAATTTACAGGTGGTACGAAATATTTTATCAATGAATTTAAAAAATTATTTATCATGTTCTCTCTTTTGTCTGCGATCTGCAAATAGAAACGCGTTATTTAAAAAGAAAAGAAAGAAAAATGAAGTTCGACGAGACTCGTATTTTTGTTGAACGATTCGTAAGCCTGATTGGAAGTTCTACTTCTGTTCTACTTATCGCGGATGTGAGTGTTAATCTCGGGTCAACGTTACGTACACGTGTGCATACGTAATGATAAAGCTAGTATCAGCGATGAAGAAATCAATAGCATAGGTCAAACGAGCAGTTTCTCTGGACGAACTTGAAGGCCAAGTTTTTCATTCACGATCTAATATATGTATCGTGATACACTGTTGATCAAAATTTGGAAGTTATCCCGTCAATTTTAGATAAAATCATGTCCTCTTTTTGGTCGGATATTATATTATTAAATTTCATAATTATTAATTATTTATAACTGTTTACTACTACTTATTTTTACTATTATTTATTAAGATTATGTTGTCAAAATACCTATAATTGTTTATAAATTATTTATATTACCGAAGCTATATCTATTTGTGATTAAGTTTTATGTATTTTTTATTATTATTATTATCATTGTCTTTTTTTAAATATGAAATTGACGAGTGCTCTAAACGACAGTGTATATTTATGCTCTTGCTGAAAGAGCTTAGGATACTTTTTATTTTTAACATTCAACATTCATTGCATATAATTACATATGAATTTTGCAATACACGCATTTGCACATACACGTACGTAAATTCACATTTTTTCTTATTCATTTTGTTTTCTGATATTTCATATTTTAATGGAGAATTTGTTTAGTCTACACGATCGAAAGAATATACGATATGCAGTTGCAAAAATTGCAAATTAATAGATTTCACAGTTTCCGAGAGAAATAATATCTTGTTCTAATTCTGGATGAATCATCGCCATTAATTATTACCCACAATTCTCAAGTCATTCAGTAATGACAATGCTAAGTGAATTTCCTTATATGTCAAACCAATTATCACTATAATTCCCTAGAGTGTATTTGATGAATCATCTGCTACTATCATACTTTGACAAACTAATTCTCAACTTTTCACTCTGAAACTGTCATAAATATATATACATATGGTACGTTTATTTTTGAAAATAAAATAAAAGAAACGAATAGTAATATTAATGTTCTTTTTTTACTTTTATTTAGGTTTTGTGCACGAAGAATGGCTGCCATTAACGATGGACTACCGATCTAAGTGAGTAGACCTAAACTCGTAGAGTGCACTTTGAAATGTCTTGCAATGTATATTTTTTTATAACGTTGCTTGCTTAATAGGACTTACAACAAGAATAACTTCTTACTCCTGTTTATTTTATTTCATTGTTATAATAGATATTTCCTTTAGAGAAACTCCTGTTTCTCTTGTTTTATTTACACAATAAACAATTAATACTCACTTTTATTAATGTAATAAAAAAAAATATTTGTAGTAATTTTATTACATTAATATAGTAATTTCATAGCAATTTAAATTTATAATCTCACATACTGTATATACTTAGACAAAAATTCTTCTATGACGAGCGTTCGAATATTTTCGTGAGCCCCCCGTATGACAGTCACAAATTAAATTCAAGACTAATAACAAAATACATTCTAATGCTTCTTAATAAATAACTTAGATCTGCAATCTGGCAATTCCATTATATTACTATAGGCATGAAAATTTTTTTGCGACAAGTATTCGAACACTTTCGTGAAACCAAACTGACGTGTCAATTCTGCTAGGGTATTCCCATATGTATGTTACTGTGTGTGACGGAGAATATGCAGAGGCACGTTTGCCCCAGAATTACAGCAGAGTTCTCGTGATTAACCGTATGCTGATCGGATATAATTAGAAGGCAACACGTGTCACGCACAATTTCCATTAGCGTCCCATCGAGAGTGACAGTGATCGGCCATTGACGTTTGCGATGGCTTTCAAGTACAATTCCCTGTCGACGAAAGCCCAATTATTGGGAAAGGATCGACCCCGGTGTTATTCATCCACGTAAAATCGGGGGACCCCTATGTGCAACCCATTACGAACCAAACAATCATTTATCACAAGTACCTCGACCCTTTGACACTTCACAAAATTATAGAATTTGTTAATGTTAATATCGAGCAACATCAATTTTCAGTAATACTGATAACTATATTAAGAACGGTTAACAATCATTCCGACAGTTAAGTTGGTTCTCCATGGGTAAACAAGTTTATTTGCCAGTCAAAAGTTACTAGGAAGGTGAAGTTGTATTTTAGAAATACAGTTGGTACTACATATATCTTTGACCAAATATTCGCTAGCATTGTTACTTCAGAAATTCATTAATATTATTATTGTGAATATTATTTTTAATATTCTTAATGTTAGTAATAATTTTAGTAATAACGTCAGTACTTTTTAATATTAATATAATTACTAAGCAAGATATTACATTGTTTCAAGATAGATCATTATACAAAATTATTATATCTGTTTTTTTTTCTTTTCTATCTAGTTAATTAGACAACCTGGTGTAAAACAATTAGAATCGCTAGACACAACAAATATTACAACTAGAATATCAATCAGATAATCAGTTATGAAATAGAATCTGGGATATCAATAATCGTAAACATAACGTAGACAAACTGGTTCTCAGATTCGAGATACCTGATAGATATGCAAATCATAGGGAGAAAAAAAAATGAGGAGAAACATTTGATAACATGGAAACGAGATCAACCGGAATGAATATTAATCTGGTTCACTGTTCAAGCTCTGAATTCATTTCAATAGAACAGTCACGAAAAAAAGAAAAGTTCCTATTACATAAAAGTATGATGCGAATCGTGTTTAACAACGGTTGCAAAAGATCTCGACCATAACATAGTGTAAATTCGGACTTGAGAATGAGGAAGCGGCTCGCTCATTTCATGGATATTAATATTAGAACCAAAGTTCTTCTTTCGTAAGGCTGTGTACAGGTAAAGTTAACGATAATATCTAAGCTTCGTAATTGCTTCGGCAGAATTACGATAGAAAGAGGTATAGGTGTTGCCGGTAATTACGATGAAAGTTACCCGGGGTCTTCGTAATTAGGCTTCGAGAAAGTAATGGTCCGTGATTTAGAAAGAACAGTGAAAGGTTGATCGTCTGCCTTTCGAGCACGAAACGAAACAAGAAATCGTCCGGTTTCCCCATAGATCGTGGCAATTAATAATTCACCGTGGCAATCGGCACGCCATCTGCTCGTAGTGGGAGCAGTCATTAATCACCCGATAGC